CCTGGAACTGTTGCTGTTCCTCGGTCAAGGCAAAAGATGGACCCGTAGGCGACACATGTGAGACGGCGGCATATGTGCGGCTGGCCACCAGCTGTCGCAGTGCAGGAGCTGCGAGCTACAAAAAAAATACAACACAATTAAATGCGGAATTCCGTGGGTCCATAAGTCCAATCGGGGGCAAAGTACAATCGCATCAGATAAGAAGCATAATCTTTGCACCGTTTTTCAAAATGTCTGCCAGATGATCTGGCACTCGATGGAGTTGCAAGATATCTTGGCCCACTTCATACATACCTTATTGAGAAAAGCCATGACGCAGATAATATATTATTTAGTTATTGCAAAATTTCTATATACAATTTGCCGTTTATTTGTGTTCGCTTTTAATTGAGTCGCGCTGCTCACTCGCTGACGTCTCGTGGCGAATTGAATCAAACGGGTATTCTGTTGCTCGTAAAACAACGCAGCGCAGCCGGCAGCGAATGTGAACATTAGACCCTCTTGCTTACGGCGAAAAAAACAACAGCAACAGCAATGACGAATTCGCTTTCTCGAAGCTTGCGTTGGTGGAGTGAAGTCAACAAACTTTCGTTTAGCTGCAGCTGTAACTCTGACTAAATATTAATAAAAGCATGTCGAATATCATTCGCCTTGGCACACTAGCCGAGACACACCCCCCTTAAAGAGATCCCAAGGCCAACACGACGCACAGCAACAAAAGCTTTGCGTAGGAATAAAGCTCTGCAACAAGCGCGCTCAATTTGAAAATATCCACAAATTTAAAAGCATACTTTCAGGTGCTGTTAAAATTAGATCAGAGAGATTATGTTAAAAATAACCAAAGTTTATATATACATATTTAAAGCACGGAAGGGCGCCCTTTTACTGTTTATGTTCAGCTGTGACATACGTGGAAAAACAAACAGAAGCAACAAGAAAAACAAAAATAAATCAATTGTTTATTGTGCTTCGTTGCCAGCAGCTCTTATCAGGCACGGCAGCAGCATCACGTAAAACTTCGGTCCGGTTAAAGCTTCCGCTAAACCACCAAACACCACCCATAAAAAGCGCGCACGATTCACAAACGAAGCCGACCACGACGCAACGAAGCTGCGTGGTGTGGGGACGAGGACGAGGACGAAGACGAGGTGAAAGTCCCGCCACATCTAAGGCAAAACTGGGATAGCTGCTGCCTTGGCTAGGCCAGTCATTTGACATTGCTCCTGCGTAAAGGTTGTCCACGCGCAAAGCAAAACTAATCCGTCGTCGAGCAATTCGCCTCCATCCTGTTTTAGTGTGTGTGTGTGCGTATGCGTACGTGTGTGTGTGTAAGTGAGTTGTTTTTAACACACACTCCCACTTATGGGTATACATATATGTACCTAAAAAAGTTACAGTGAAATTTTCTCGAGCCCGTAATCAAACAAGTGCAAATCGTTAAGTGCTTTTGGCCAAGCTAAAATGGCTCAATTTGTGACTCACATACAGCCAACGCTGATGGAGGCATCGCAAGGTCATATGCCGCACCATCATGGCCATCAGGTAGGCGTGCAGCATTCGTCGCATTTGCCACACAGTGGCCATAACATGCCATCGCTACCCACGGCCCACAATCATCACCAGCACCAGCACCAGCACCATCATGGAGGACATGGAAACGCGTCCTCGCATCAGCAAACCCAATCGCAATCGCAATCGCAATCCCATCAACATCATCATCATCCTCCAGAGCAGCAGCAGCAGCAGCACAAGAAATCACATCATCCGACGGGTCATGGCAATGCCAAGGCGCAAACCCATCAAAGTCCGCCAAAGCAGGTGTCCCCGCCGCCTGCGGACCATGTGGGCCACTACGAATACTTTCAGCATCAGCATGAGTTGGCCTTTCAACATGTTGGTGCCACGCCCGGCAGCAACAGCAAGCAACACCATCACGATAAGCATGAACACTGCCCCACAGGACACCAGAGTGCGGTGAGTGCCAGGCTTACATCATCTCAGCCCACAGCAAGGGCATGGTCGCAACATGTGATCGCGTTCAGATTGCGAACTCTTAAGCTAGTCTTATTCTAGATTGTTCTGGTCTATTCTCTGCTCCTGCTTTATGCATGCATACATGCATATATGTATATATATATGTATCTGTGTGGATGACGCAATCGCAATCCTTGAGCTGGAATAACTGAATGCCAAATGAGTCATCGACCATCTTTTGCCGTCCTTGTTGGCCATTAAACGCTCCATGACGACTCTCTGGCGTCGTGGCGTCTCCCAGGCATCATTTACTGTTCATTAAAAAGCTTCAAAATTAGACAGACCGCCCTCTGCACCTTCAGTACCAACCCCCCCGCCCTTCCCCGCGCCAACACCACATACAACCGCAAAAGCCGTTTAATAGCAGCAGCGCCCCCACCCCTCCCTCACCCCCTCATCATCCTGTACTCTCGAGAGCTTTTTTTTCTTCTGTTTTTCTCTAAATTCAGTGTTTTCGTATTGTTTAAAAATAAAACCAACTGGCGAATTTCTCTTTCTACTCTCTTCGCATTGGTCTCTTGCCGCTGGCAGAGAGCTTCCGGGCGCGAATCGAAAAAAATAATTTAGAAAACGACTCAAATCGCTCGCTGTCTGTTGTTCTTGGTGCGTGGCCTGCGTGTATAAATATTCCATATAAATTTAACAAAAAATTTGATTAGCGTATGTGTTTTTTTATAATCGAAACGCCAACGAAATGGAGACATTGAAGAAACGCTTCCCATCGCTGCAGAGTTTGGGCGTAAGTCGCTGCCAACTTGGACCCGTTTTTATGTAATATAAACCCTCTGCTAGATGTTGCAGTACCCCCCAAAATCTATGCAGTTGACCCAAAAATATCACACACAGCTCTTTGTGCGAAAAATATTTCAATATCTTTTTATTTTTGGTGCGTATGACGTGTACGTTGGCGTCGCGTCTGTCTGGCACCCGGTGCACTGAACTATCTATAAGCTTGTGGGATGGTGTGACAGGGGGAGGGGGTGGGGGAGGCCGCCCCAGGGAGCTTTTCACTAAATTGGCGTCTCACTTATTTGTGGTGCGTTTTTAAAGGTCGTCAAAGTTGTGGACAATTAGCTAGGGCCATTGGCGTCTCGGGGCAATGGCGTCGCCTCTGCCTCTGCTGCTGCCTCTGCCTCTGCTTCTGCTGGCAGCCCAACAGGCGATAGCCTCAGCGACGCCAACAGCATTTTTGAAGAACATGAAAACATGTTCCAAACTTCGTCGAAGCTTAAACACTCTTTAATGCGTTTTAAATATTTGTACAATTTCATAAATAAATTAAAAACCAGCTCAATTTAAAATCCGAGGAAATGAAGAAATTGAGAAAAGTCCCTAATTAACACACAGTTATATATTTGAATAAAAGTCGGATAGTTTTCTTATAGAAAACAAATGTAAATATAAAAAAAACATTTTCTTATATGGAAAACCTTTAAAAGGTAAAAATTAAGAAGATAAGAAAATAAATAAGAAGTTAACAATTACACCCATAAGGAATATATTTTTAGACAGATCTTGGACTTAGATAGAAAATCAAACAATAGGAAAAAAAACTAGATCATAATCTGTTTAAGAAGAAATTGACAAGTACATTGTAATGTGTTGTGTATAACACTCTTTTATAGAAGTATAGAGTATATATATATTTTGGAGTACCAGCTGACATGCAAACATGCAATTTAGTTCAGTTTCACGAGCCTGTGTCGAGAGTTCAACCCCCCCAAAGTCCGAGGACTCTGAATTGTAACCGAAAACCCTTTGCTGGCCAAAACGAATAAGTCAATGTTTGGCCAAGCGATAAAGGCTGAACTGCAGCTTAAAGACACCCTTAAACCGGGGGAAGGCCATTAATTAAATTCCAAAATGTGCGTCACACCTTGCTGCCACATGCCACATTAGTTACCCCGCCCCCGCACATAAAGCAGAGCAAGCACTTTACAATTTGCCCTGGTCACGATGCAATTCGAAATGCAATTTTATGCAATCGCTAGGGGTAAGTTATAACCGCTGCTCCAGTGCCACCCGAGGGTGGCTTCCTTTCTATCGGCTAATTTGTAACCCAAGCAACGACAACAACAACAGCAATAGGAAATTTGATGGCAATAGCAGAAAATTGTGTCGTTCCTTTTCTTGGCAAAACGTGACTGGGACTGCATACGCATCTGATTGGGCTCGTAAGGGTGTCGGGTGCTATGGGGTTGTTATTTGGTTTCTCATTGGATTTGGCCAGTTCGAATCTGGAAGTAAACAAAATCCAGTCAGATACCTTGGAAGGTGACCCACCCCGAACATAGCCACCCAGCAACCAACTGTGGATTGTTTCTAGTTTCTGTTTGTTCTCAATCAACAAAGGGAGGGGGGGGGGGGGCGAAAGGGCCTGCATGTGTGTTTAGCTTAGTAATGATTCTATATGCTCGGCTAATTAGTTGGAATTTACTCAAATTACGTGCGCAGTTGGGAGCGCCAGAAAATAATTGAAAAGCTAATTAGCTGCTGAGGGAATACATTTCATTTGAGACAAGCAACTATTAAATAAATCCTTGAGGACTTTACACTTCATCTCCCTAAGCAATTATCAAATATCCCTGAGAACGTCAGTTATTCAAATTGCATTTTCATTTATATTCCATAACGCAATTTTTATCAAGGATCTCAAGTATTTAAAGAGCTTGGCAATCTTTTGGGATTATAATGAATTCTTTGTTTGCTGTTGCACCCGCTGCACGTGTCCGCGCTGCACCACTTCCAATAGCAAATGTCAACAAAGCGAGACGCACGTGTCAAATGGGCGGCTTTCGCTTCCGCTTCCAGTAAACCACCCTTGGGTGGTGGCGCAGACGCAGACTGCGTGCGTGCGTTTCCGAATGGAATGTGCAAGTGCGCAGGTCCTTCGAAAATCCTGGCGATGCCGAAAATTTCAACCACGACTGGTAGGACACTTCGTGGCCAGTTAGCACGCATCCAGTCTGGAGTTGAACATTGAAGAAAACGGCAGCAAAAATCAAACGCTCCTCAGCGTGTTTTTTTAGAAGCGACTGTGTTGAACAGAAAGGAATCCAATCAGACACACCAACACAGTCACACTCACAGTTACAGTTACAGTCACAGTCACACATAAACGTACACTGACACACACACACACACACATAGACACACCCTCGCACACACATGCACTCGCGTACATAAGGCTTACATAAAATCTAAGGAAAAATCGATGCGAGTGCATTTAAAATTCAACAAGGAAAGTCTCAGCTAGTGAAATTTCTTCGCGTTAAACTCGAATTAAAAGTAAAAAAAATTCATTAGTTAGCCGAGTGAAAAAAAAACTATGACTAATCAGTGACGACATACGCGAGCTTCGCTTACACAATATCTCTATACTAGATATACGACATACCACATAAGATTGAAAATCGGTTGAAAAAATTTCCAATTGGAAATCGGTGTACGCAAAATGGTCACTGAAAATGGAGCTCAGGTAATGATAAACCAGTTTATTTCATTTCATTTGCAGCGTGAATTTACTTTTCGCCCAGACTGTCTGGGACGGCCATGTTGGCGTCCATTTTGCACATTATCGATTTTTCATTGTCTGGACTGAAAATTTGCTGAAAAAAAAACACATACAAGAGCAAATATATCTAATTTCCCAATCGGCTTGAGCAAAGTTTCTATTAATAATTACTTTTGGGTACCAACCATTTTAATGACATCAAAATTTAATTGGTTTTGCTAAATCAGCAACTCGCATTGAAGTCAAATCAAATTGCGTACTATTATAATTGTAATAAGTGGAAAACAATATGCTATAAATAAGCAGGCAAGCATTGTTAAGAGCTTGGGCACAAAAGCGCATAAGGACAGCCCTCCCTCCCCTCAATCCGAACTGGGCGTGGTGCTAAGCTGTGCGTGTATCCGTGTCCGTGCCCGTGCCCGTGCCAGAGCCCATGCCCGTGGTGCAAGGTAATGGAGATTTAGGTTAAATTTAATGATGACATGCGACATTTGCGCCACGCCGAAAAGATGAAGAGAAAATCCATAATATGTATGAGTCATATTTCTTGTCACTTTTCCTGCTCCTAAGTGCAATAATGGAAATCAAAATCCATTTGTTGCTCCGTCTCGTTATTTGCACTTAAGTTTCGAGTATTACCAAACATGTTGCCACTTGGGCGACATTTTGCTGCACAAGTTCAAAGGAAATCCACTTCAAGGCTTCGGCCCTCGAGCAGCCCAACTTACATTATATCAAGCATTCAATTTACACAACTTGAGCCTGGTTATACAATGCCTGACAAGCACCTTTGAACTTTGGAGTCCATGTGTGTGTGTGTGTGTGTGCTGGCCCCTCATCAAGTTGGGCAAACAAGGAAGCAGCCAGCGCCGAAAGACATCCTTTAGAGTTGGCTTTCATATATGTACATATATACGAAATGAGTTTTGTGTTGGCCCAGCCATGAAAGGGAGCCGCTCGCTTCCGTATTGACAGAGCGGCGCACCGTGTCGAGCCGGCTGTGTGTCCGGGTGGGGGGTGGGCAGGCGAGCCTTCGTCTCTGCATTGCAGCGGCAGCTTGGGCTGGAGGCTCCGACAGGAAATGGCGGCGGCTCGGGACAGTGGCTGCCTGCGGTCACTTTGACGGTGTCGTTTTTGCTTTCGAAGCTTGTGCGTTTCCAGTGCGAAAATGTCCAAGTCGAAGCCGCCTTCCAATTGCACTTTCCAATGCGACGGCATGACGTCATATTCGATATCGAATTCCAGGCTGCGCACCCCCTCCCCCCTCCACTACTGCTGCTCGTTCGAGCGCTTAGCAAAAGGAAAACATAAACAAATTGTGGGTGGCTATGAAAAGGGGGCGGCTGTTGGCGCAAAGCCGAATTACACCTGCGCATTGTTAAAGCCGACGTTGACCCCTCGCCTTGACCGTTGTTTAACTGAACTTGGCCTGCCCATTCCCCCTAACAAGCCCCCTCATGACAATAGCAGGTGCACAGTTCACAGTGCGAGCTTCAATTGCGCAACGACTGTAACGGGTATTTACCTATATGCAGCATTGCGATCGATAACACCCCTAACAAAGCTCATTTCATGAATACGCAGCTGTCACGCAAGTCTCAGTTGGCCCAGGGCAACTCGAAGCTCTCCAAGCCACAATCAAATACTTGGCATTAGTCTAGGTGTACAATTTCCTATATTTAGCTACATACTAACTGTCTACACTGTCGACTAATTAAAAATGAGCGTTTTGTGCAATCCCCGTTTGGCCGACTCCAAGCTTGGCATATATGCATACTTCCTATCGATTGTTCGCTATATTATATCGATATATCTACGATATATTTATTCATTTGCGATTATGTCAGCAACCTTTACCTTGTTTCCATGCCTTCATAGAGTTTCCATATTTAAGTTTGTACTCATATTAGATATTCATTTATAATTTAAAGGGCGATGGCAACACTTCCTTTCTGCGTGCCGCACGCGCTGGCAATTTGGAGCGCGTGCTGGAACATCTGAAGAACAACATTGACATCAACACCAGCAATGCAGTAAGTGAAATCCTGGAGAAATTTTAAGCCCCTGTCTTTAATCTCTTTGCGGATTCGTCGTAGAACGGCTTGAATGCACTGCATTTGGCTTCCAAGGATGGACACATACACGTTGTCTCGGAGCTGCTGCGACGCGGCGCCCTTGTCGACAGCGCTACCAAGAAGGGCAACACGGCTCTGCACATTGCCTCTCTGGCGGGACAGGAAGAGGTGGTGAAGCTGTTGCTGGAGCACAACGCCTCCGTCAATGTGCAGTCGCAGAATGGCTTCACACCGCTCTACATGGCCGCCCAGGAGAATCACGATGCGGTTGTGCGCCTATTGCTGTCCAATGGCGCCAACCAAAGTCTGGCCACGGAGGATGGGTTCACGCCACTGGCGGTGGCCATGCAGCAGGGACATGATAAGGTTGTAGCCGTGCTCCTCGAGAGCGATACACGTGGCAAGGTCCGCCTACCAGCGCTCCACATAGCTGCCAAAAAGGATGACGTCAAAGCAGCTACGCTTCTACTGGACGTAAGTAAATACTGGTATTAGATTACACCTGGATACTTATGTTCGCATTGGTTCCACAGAATGACCACAATCCGGATGTGACTTCCAAGTCGGGCTTTACGCCGCTGCACATTGCCTCGCACTATGGCAACCAGAACATTGCCAATCTGCTGATCCAGAAGGGTGCCGATGTCAACTACTCGGCCAAGCACAACATCAGTCCACTCCACGTGGCTGCCAAGTGGGGCAAGACCAACATGGTCTCGCTGCTGCTCGAGAAGGGCGGCAACATTGAGGCTAAGACCCGGGATGGCCTCACACCGCTCCACTGCGCTGCCCGCTCCGGCCACGAGCAGGTTGTGGACATGCTGCTGGAGCGCGGCGCACCCATTAGCGCCAAAACCAAGAACGGTCTCGCACCATTGCATATGGCTGCCCAGGGCGAGCATGTGGATGCCGCACGTATTCTGCTCTACCATCGCGCACCCGTTGACGAGGTAACCGTTGATTATTTGACTGCTCTGCATGTGGCCGCCCACTGTGGACATGTGCGTGTGGCAAAGCTCCTGCTGGACCGCAATGCCGATGCCAATGCACGTGCCCTCAACGGGTTCACGCCCCTGCACATTGCTTGCAAGAAGAACCGATTGAAGGTCGTCGAACTGTTGCTGCGTCACGGCGCCAGCATAAGCGCCACCACAGAGAGTGGGCTGACACCGCTGCATGTGGCCGCCTTCATGGGTTGCATGAATATTGTCATTTACTTGCTGCAGCATGACGCCAGCCCGGATGTGCCCACTGTGCGTGGCGAGACTCCATTGCATTTGGCTGCACGCGCCAACCAGGTGAGTCATTCGAATAAAGTATTTGGTTGAAATGACTGTTACAAACTATTGATGTCATTTAACAGCTTGTATCGATAACCCAATAATCGATAGCTTACAGAGCTTCAGTGTATCATATTTGAAATAATAATACCGATAGCTTACTGAGCTTATTTAATTTAAATATCAAAACGTTTATTTGAATCTGTTTGTTCATTTATTTCAGACGGACATCATCCGCATACTTTTGCGCAATGGCGCCCAGGTTGATGCACGAGCTCGGGAACAGCAAACACCGCTGCATATCGCCTCGCGACTCGGCAATGTTGACATTGTCATGCTATTGCTGCAACATGGCGCTCAGGTGGACGCCACCACGAAGGATATGTACACGGCACTGCATATTGCTGCCAAGGAGGGTCAGGATGAGGTAAAAGATTTGATTGCCAAAAAGATAACGGATCACATCGACACCGTCTACCTGATGCAATTATTTTGGATACGTCATCAGGAGTTTTTCATTTGAAATTGGCTTTTAAGTTTTCTTATGTATACTTGCTTTTGTTTCTGTTACGTTCATCGATTATTACGAGTATTGTTGTGTCTTTTGTTATTGTCTCTTATGTTGGCCATAAAAATAAATGTGTCCACTTTAGTATTATCTGGGTACTTATTATTTCAATTTTATATTTTATAATTTATGATTTTTAGATCATCTACCGTATTTAGTTTAAGCTCATTATCTGAACAGGTAGCTACACATATGCACCGTTTCGACTAGTAGCGTTTCAAAAATGCATCGAATCAATCGATAAGCGATTCTTATCGATAGAGCCAATCGCACTTTGAACCACTAGAAATGGCGCACTAAGAAGTCCTCTCGCTGTTAATTTATATATTTTTACTTATGTATGTAGGTGGCCGCTGTGCTGATTGAGAATGGCGCCGCTTTGGATGCGGCCACCAAGAAGGGATTCACGCCACTGCATCTGACGGCTAAGTATGGGCATATTAAGGTCGCCCAGCTGCTGCTCCAGAAGGAGGCGGATGTGGATGCGCAGGGCAAGAATGGCGTCACGCCTCTGCATGTGGCCTGCCACTACAACAACCAACAAGTGGCACTGTTGCTGCTAGAGAAGGGCGCCAGTCCACACGCGACCGCCAAAAATGGACACACGCCGCTTCACATTGCGGCGCGCAAGAACCAGATGGACATTGCCACCACTCTGCTGGAGTATGGCGCTCAGGCCAATGCCGAAAGCAAGGCCGGATTTACGCCACTGCATCTAAGCAGCCAGGAGGGACATGCCGAGATATCCAATCTATTGATCGAGCACAAGGCTGCCGTCAATCATCCAGCCAAAAATGGTCTGACCCCTATGCATCTGTGCGCTCAGGAGGACAATGTAAACGTGGCAGAGATTTTGCAGCGCAACGGCGCCAATATCGACATGGCTACTAAGGCTGGCTATACACCGCTGCATGTTGCCTCGCACTTCGGCCAGGCTAATATGGTGCGTTTCCTGCTGCAGAACGGCGCCAACATTGACATGGCCACCAAGGCTGGCTATACGCCACTGCATCAGACCGCCCAGCAGGGCCATTGCCACATTGTCAACTTGCTGTTGGAGCACAAGGCGAATGCCAATGCACAGACCGTCAACGGACAGACGCCACTGCATATTGCACGCAAACTGGGCTACATCAGTGTGCTTGATTCTCTGAAGTCGATTACCAAGGAGGATGAGGCAGCCACTGCATCCGCTCAGACCGAGGAAAAGTATCGCGTTGTGGCGCCTGAGGCCATGCACGAATCCTTCATGTCTGACTCGGAGGAAGAAGGCGGTATGTATAGACTTGCTTTCATATTATACTTGATTTTTCGCACACATCCATCCACTTGTCTGCCAGCACTCAGACTAACAGCAACACTCTAAGTTATGATTAGTTTTAAGTAAAATTAAAAAACCCCAAAAAAATACCCGCTTTTATGTGTGCCGTCAGGTGACACAGATTGGGAATTGGATGCTTGCTACGAGTTTGGCATTGGCGGTGATTGTGACCCCAACCGCCACAGGCCAAACCCTCATGCCTTTCAGCCGTATTACCAGGGCGACTATCTGTATGTGTCCAGTAAGTGTCAATGAACGTTGCAAGGCCAATTGTAAAATTCGTATTCCTACATATTTTGAGAGAGTCGACTGCTATCAAGTGCACCCAATTGGCAATGATTGGCATCTAAATGAAATTCAAATGATACAGCACTTTATATGGTTGCTCGCATAATTGTATAAATTATATCTTGACGTTGTTGTTAACACAAGAAACACCAGATTTGGCGTGTTTTCACCTGGGCTGCAAACCCCAAATTTAAAGGTCGCTGGTTCGAACCAATTTCCTGCTTTATGGTTAGGTTTTTCAACCTGCTTTCCACATCTTCAAACCAAGGTTTTAATTCAAATATTGAAATTCATATGAAACAAATTAATTTTTTTATTTATAATTGCCCGTTCTACTGAAAATATTGCATGTCGTACATATTTTCATATAGAAATTGCGGGCTAAATTTGATCTCTACCTAATATAATTAGATAAATCTAATGGTTTTTTATGCTTTGGGGCTGACTCTCCCTCAAAAGCTTTATATTTTAAGCCAAACCATTTTTTGCAGTCGGTTTGCAGCCTCGGTTTTTTCATCCCTTCAATTTGTTTGCTTTATTTTGTGTACTTTACAGAATGAAATCGTAATGTATTGTAAATCGAGTTTAATTGTTAGATAAATATCGTTCGCTACAATGACCAATTTGTATGTATTTTAACTGGCCATGTAAATATATCTACAACAGTTAGGTTTCTGGGTGTTCAGAAGAAAGATGTGCAGAAAAACTGCTTGACTTAACAATAATATATCCATTAAGATCAATGTGGCATGAAAAAATATATATATATGATAATAGTAATAAGATATATAATCTATAAACTAAGTTATATAATGCTCCTATTTATTATTCATGCTAGCTTTACATATCATCCTACTATATTTATATTGTTGATATACGTATATATTAAAAAAAAAAAGATATGCATGTAGATTGTACAAAATTTGTCAACTAAAAAAACTCATTTGCATTCTTCTATTTTCAATGCACCGCGCTCTCATCAACTGCAAAACAAACAACAACAACAACTGAAACTAAATCACAATACAACACAATACAACAACAACAACAACAACAACAACAACAACGCTATATGGCCAATTGACTGTCTTGTGCTTAATTGAAATGCGCTGGAATGTAACCGAAATGCTACGCAAATAATCGAAAACCAAAATCTAGGCGAAGACAATATGCTATCCGATCAACCTTATCGCTATTTGACCGTTGATGAAATGAAATCCCTAGGCGACGACTCGCTACCCATTGATGTGACCCGCGATGAGCGTATGGACTCCAACCGAATGACCCAAAGTGCCGAATATGCCGGTGGTGTACCGCCTACAATTGGCGAGGAGATGATCAGTCCGCACAAGGCTCAGGTATATGGCTCCTCGCCCAAGGCAACTGTTGATGGTGTCTACATTGCCAATGGCGTTGGAAACGAAGAGCCACCGCATGTGGGGTAAGTGACGAACTATAGTGTTTAAATTCTATTTCTAATTTTATGTTCCTTAGTCGCAAGCTGAGCTGGAAGAGCTTCCTGGTCTCATTCCTGGTAGATGCACGCGGCGGTGCTATGCGTGGCTGTCGCCACAGCGGCGTGCGTATGATAATTCCGTCGCGCTCCACCTGCCAGCCGACGCGGGTGACCTGCCGCTACGTAAAGCCACAGCGCACCATGCATCCGCCGCAGTTGATGGAGGGTGAGGCCTTGGCCAGTCGCGTCCTGGAGCTCGGACCCTGCTCGACCAAGTTCATTGGGCCCGTGATAATGGAGGTGCCACATTTTGCTTCGCTACGTGGCAAAGAGCGCGAGATCATCATACTTCGTTCCGATAACGGCGAAACCTGGCGCGAACACACCATTGACAACTCTGAGGAGATCATACACGATGTCATGCAGCAGTGTTTCGAGCCAGAGGGTGAGTGTACTTAATTTTAACAATCCGTATCGCTGTGCAAATAAGGTGTTTGTGTTCCCACAGAAATCGCTCAGCTGGAGGAGCAGGCCGGCAATCATGTCTGCCGCTTTGTCACATATGATTTCCCTCAGTACTTTGCTGTTGTATCGCGCATACGCCAGGAGGTGCACGCCATCGGACCCGAGGGTGGCATGGTCTCGAGCACTGTGGTACCGCAGGTTCAGGCCGTTTTCCCTCAGGGCGCTCTAACCAAGAAAATCAAAGTTGGCTTACAGGTAAACCTCTTTAAACCACGCAAAGGCGTTGCGCCCGAGAAACTACGCAAGATAAGCGTCAATCATGTGCCCAAAAAGAAGCGCTTCTCGCTCATTTGGTAAACACCACTTAATGGGTGCAAGATCTACAAAAAGTAATCGGTCTACATAGTATATACTAATAATCGTGCATTTAACATACATATACAGCTTCCCTAACGTATAGCAATAACGAAAAGTTTTCCATATATATTAAAAATACGCATTTAAAAACGAATTAATCAAATATATAGAAGATGTAATACCGCTCCATAAAATCTGTAATTCGCGTAATAGTCGGTGAAGCCAAACCAAATAGATGATATACACTTAAATATATTTATATATCTATATATTTAGCAAGGCCAGAAAGTAATTTCTAAGGCGTATTCGCAATGAAACCTATTATCAAATCAAAATATTAACATATATTTCAATAGATTTAGATTTGTCTAGAAATATTCCTACTTTGAATGCCTCTCGTTAAATTCTTTTGTTGGGGGGGGCCAAATGTTATTTATGAAATATGTGCACTTTGTTTGAATATACTAAATCACGACAGAACTAGTTGAGAATTTTTTTTGGCACTGAGAAGATATTTAAATTATCCACGCTAACTTTATCACATATGCTAAAGAAATAACTACTTTATAGTGACTTGCAATAATACTTATATAAACTAATACATTTATGATGATTGATCATGGATCAAGCGACTTATAGCAGATCGCGTATTTTCTTAAAGCTTAATACTTAAACAATAATACGATTGTCCATTTGATCGAGACAAATTAATTATATACACAACAATTTAATACTATATATATATATATATATATATATATTTATGCCTATTATTATTAATTTATCATACTTGGAAAAATTACATATGCATAAGATTATAAAAGTTTCTGAAATGAAGTACTACCCAATAAATTTAGTTCAACAAAAACTTTATACCAATGAAAATCTTTTCATTAATTTTCATTTTATTAATTCATTTTTCATTAAATTGCTTTTTTGAGATTAATAATAATAATGAAAACATTTAAAAAAATATACAAATTAGATGTATATATGTATTGTTAAAGTGCTTAGACCGTTACAATTGGGTTCGGTTTTGAAGTGCCTAACGAAGTTGTAACATTTTAGCCATGCTGTAAGCAAAAAACGATTTTATGATGGCCCCACTCATGAGTTCAAATTTTTAGCACATATTATTTGCATTTTGTATATTTCAATAATATAGATATACATATAAAAAATGTATATTTTCTTATTTTTATTGGAAAAAGTCGAATTATTGTTTTCTAGAGTATTAAGTTGTAGTAAAAGTTTTTTTGATGACTAAATTTATTGGGACATAAATGGGCTTGAACATTGTTATTGTTTGTAGTTAACATATGCTGTATTTAACTAAAACATGCGATTGCTCAATATAACCATAAAAATAATAGTATGAATGAAAAATCCAAAACTAAATAAGCATTGTAAAATAATATACAAGAAGGAGAAAAAATGTTCACCATTTAGCCCAAAACTCATTTCATTTGTCTGTCGTTTTTTTATTTAAAAGTTTTTTTTTGTTTGTATTTTATCATTCGAATTATATGCATAATTATATGTACATATAATATGTATGTATGCGTGTGTATATAAACAAACAAATGGCGCATAATTCGTATATATATATATATATATATACTTTTCATTAAACATTTGATTTTATTTAGTTGATTTGTCTCATGTCTCATATTGTAAGAGTGGCCGAAAAATCGATTTTTTGTCTACAGTGTCGAAAATTCGTTACATTTCTAGGCCCAACCGGTTGATCCTGATCTAACTGCTAAGCTACTGGGTCGCGGCGTTGCCGTATCGCCGATTGTAACGGTCGAGCCGCGCCGTCGCAAATTCCACAAGGCAATCACACTGAGCATGCCCGCCCCGAAGGCGCACAGCCAGGGCATGATCAATCAATATTCGGGCAATACGCCAACTCTGCGTCTGCTGTGTTCAATAACAGGTATGTTATAATTGTTACCGTCTCACCGATATGTTTTTGTGTTGTTGTAAATTGTGCTCATAGCAATTACATAAATAATGAGTATTTACTTAACATTACGTTTTGTTAGTTGATGTTTTATGAGTAACTTCCCGAAGCCTCTCTCTGTACCCTCAGCTTTCATTTAATTAATTCCTATTTGAGTGTTTGTTCGTATGAGTTTTGATTAGTTTCTATTCGCCTTGGTTTCGGTCCTAATAAAACTCTTGTCTGTATTTTGTATGATTTCGTTAAGTATTACTTTATTTAACTTGTCTATCAAATGTACTATAATGTACTTCTACATACAATTATCATGTACTATATATATACTACATGCCATATATCTATATACATAATGTTGTACAGTGAAAATTGCCAAATTATATAAAAAACATATTGAAATTATATCAAGTTCGTGAATTGCCAAAATCCAGGTCGCATTTGATAGAAACAATGTGCTTGTGTCTGTGTAGTTGATGCGTATAAGTTCTTCGGGTTAACCTATCTAGTCGAATTAACATGAAATTAAATATACATTAGCCTCGTTTTAATTAAATTACCTACTACATTAAGCGAGTTGTTACAGTAACAGTAACAGTAAAAGCAACCATTTTAGTAGCCGTAACCGTAACCGTAACAATAACAGTAACAGTAACAGTAACAGTAACAGCAACCGTAACAGCAACAGCAACAGCATAGTAAATTTCATTCACCCTCGCATACAGACATAGATACGCTCATACTCCAAACTACACCCACACAAATACAGATACAAATACGAAACCTCTCACACATATTCGTACCTAATTAAATGTTATGCTCAGTGTCATCATTGTGCCAACAGTGTTTGCTCCAGTATATACTATAATTGTCATTGTTTCTTATTTTTATGTACATAATTGCTAATTATTTTCTATGATTTCCGTTGAATTACTTTGATATGATTATGATTTTTTAACAAAGCAAAACTAAAAAAAAAACAAAAACAAAAACTACAAACAAAAAAATAGTTTAATTCAAGTCATAATTGAAATCGTATTTAATTGTTCTATAATTTTGTACTAATGCGTCAATGCATATGTGCACGCATTCCATTCTGTTTTCTCAATCCATTGAAGGTGTGTTTCGGAAAAGGTCTCTAAAAGGTAACTAAAAAATGAAAAATGTCCAAAATAAAATAAAATAAATTCAGAAATTCACAAACATGTATGAAGTTTTCAATTGAAACTGTTTACAAAATAAACAAAATATTTGTTCATATTTAGTTGTTTCGTTCTATGCCAAAATAATTAACAATAACAACATAGTTACTTATATTGAAAATGAATCGATTATCAAAATACAAATGAAAAATTAAGCAATTTTCAATCAAAAAACAAAAAACAAAAAACATAAAAATAATAATGTTATTACAAACAAAATATTTGAAAATTCTGCATATTTTATTTAAAAAAGAAACCAAAAACTATTGCAAATATTTATAAAAATATTTTTTTATCTATGCTTTAAAATTATATTTGTTCGTTTTGTTATTTTTTTGCATTTGTTTATTTTACCTCATTTTTCAATCTCTTTTAAATTAAAACTTTTTGCCTTAATTCGGGTTGCGCTGCGTCTTTTGGGGTTTTTGTAATATAAAATATGAAAACAACAGATAAAGAAGCTCAGGACCATTTTCTATTTGGGCCTCACTGACCCTTTCCACACAGCATAGTTCTCTATGCCGAGGCCATTTTAATGTTGTGCTTCTCTAGCTCAAAGCAGCTTCGTTTTTTGAAGTAAGCTTACTTTCCAATTCACTTTTAAGAACCTTAAGCTTGTCATACAAACATCTTTGCTGCGTTCTCTCTAAACAATTTACAATAACTACAAACTAATTAAAGAATTTCTGACAGCACGCGGTTTTACTACTCATATATAAATTGCACATTTCCATTAAAACGTTAATAGGTCTCGAATAAGAAGATTTATAAGAAAATGCTAAACGCTAAAGTTGCTCTTTGGGCCAAAGGAACCGAATTGAAATCAAGGCCAGACTTAATCAATTTTATTCAATCTTATTTTCAATTCCTAATCTGTCATATTCTTATTTGTATCTGTTAATTTTTATCGAACTCTTGATTTGGAATGTCATGCACCTAAGGTAATTCGTAGATTCGTTAGTTATATTAGAGTGTTCAGATTTTAGTTTTTTGTCGTTTTTTTTATTTTGTCTTTCTTATAAGTTCAACATAAAGCAGAATATATTCATATATTATGTATAAATTGTTTTCCAAAAACTAAATCAATTTCGAATTTCAACTGTTTGTGGCCCCAAAGAGAACTTTTCTGAAACCGAAATAAAAAACCAAAACGATAAATATTCACACACAACAAAAAAAAAGAAAAAAAACTGCAAGAGTTATTGAAGAACTTTAAAAGAAACTCAATTTAATGCTATGGCAAAGCCCTATTATATACAAACAAACAATATATTTTGTTTAATGTATATAAAAAAGTTGACAGTCTTTTAGTTATTTATAAACATATTTTCTTATAATTATATAATTTATTGTTGTTCTATTTTGTTTTTTTATTGTATGTATTGTTTTGTTATCATTTTCTACACGTTTACAAGAAACACGTGACACGCTCACTTAATTATCATTAAAAACCTAATAATTTTATTATTCCAAAATATTTAGCATGTTGTTTCAAAATGGCTTCAAAGTCCGCGTAACAAGTACATTTGTACCTGTATCCCTGTAAATGCTACAGCCCTATAAAACTATCTAATAAATACATAATATGCTTGAATCCCAAGTGCGACATTTTCATATACACACTATATACACATACACACACACACACACACACACACATATGTACATCTACCCATAATATATACTACAAGGCTTAGACCTAAAGTCCAGTCACTGCATCACATTAATCTGTATGCCACAGACACAGACCACAAGAAACAATTTACTAATTTTTCTATAACTTTTGCGCTAAATACATAATGATACTTTTTAGAAATAATGAAACTTAATACTTTTCAATAATAATAATCTTACCATACAATTGCTTTGTAATTAACACACGATCGTATTTCTCTCTCTTTCAAAACTTTTGAGTTGAGTTTTCGTTTTCGAATTAGTTGACCAATTTTCTATAAATTCTATCTGCTAAATCTGCTAATAAGACATAAGTAGAGTTTTCAAAGAGTTTTTAATATCTAGTATATGCGTATCCTCTTTGCCTTGATGTATGCTTGAAAATTGAACATCTTATTACCTCCATCAACCACCAGGCGGACCATCCCGAGCACAATGGGAGGACGTTACCGGTTCCACACCGTTGACATTTGTCAACGATTGTGTTTCATTTACGACCACAGTTTCTGCCCGTTTCTGGCTAATGGATTGTCGCAACATTTCTGATGCAACCAAAATGGCAACAGAGCTGTACAAGTAAGTGTCAATCAGGGAATAATGAGTTTGCCCTAGTCTTAGATCTACTGACCATATCGTTTATAGGGAAGTCATTCACGTGCCCTTCATAGCCAGATTTGTGGTATTTGCCAAAAAAATAGAACCCTTCGAGGCACGTCTACGTGTCTTCTGCATGACTGACGATCGCGAGGATAAGACGCTGGAGAAGCACGAGCTTTATACGGAGGTCGCCAAGAGCCGCGATGTTGAGGTGCTCGAGGGCAAGCCCCAGTATATCGAAATGGCTGGTAATCTGGTGCCCGTAACCAAGTCGGGTGATCAGTTGCAGCTGCAGTTCAAAGCCTTCCGCGAGAATCGTTTACCATTCACGGTGCGCGTAAAGGATCAGCACGCAGATATTGTTGGTCGCACGCTGTTCATGAAGGAACCCAAAGTGGCTAAGGGCGAACAACCACAGCAACCCATCTGCATACTAAATATTGTTTTGCCGGAAGCCGTCATACCCGATTCGACGACAGCGTTCTCGGAACGGGTCTCTTCTGCCTATCGCACCTCGATGTTCAGCTTGAGCAAGCATCAAAACGACCATTACATTGGTGATATACGCATTGTTGATCTTTCCAATTTATTGGGCAAAGATTGGATACAACTGGCACCAGAGATAGGCATAACCGCTGATGAGATCGATGAAATCATCAACCAAAATACCGACAGTATTGCGCGACAGGCGCAGAGCATGATTCGTTTGTATAAAGATAAGCCAAACTATGATATCTTGGCGCTGGAAACGGCGCTTAAGAACATTGGACGCGACGATATCATGAAGAAGTGCAAAAGTGGAAGACTATCGCATTCACGCGAATTTGACGAGGCAGATCTCATGAAGAACTCCGAATCCGTAGAGGAGCTAGTTCGCAGAGAAAGTAAGTACTCAGATGCTTTGTGGTATACAAAAGTAAATAGCTAATTGTTTATTTTTAGGCAAGCGAATCCAGCAAATCAATGAGCGCGAAGAAGTTAAATACTCCGCCGAGGAGAAGGAAGTCGAAGAGTCAGAGTCCGATGAGGAGCTAGCGAAACGAACCGTTGCCGAACGTCGAGAGAAAATTGTGAAACGTCTTTCAGTGGAACGCTCCATACCAGCCTCAACCCAAAAGAAGGAAATTACACGAGAGATAACCGAAATCAAACGCAAGAGTTTGATTGAGGATAAAAAGGCACATCACGAATCGGAGATTCTGATGCAATTACCCGCCGACAATGTCATAATAAAAACGGCAACTGTGCCCGAGCAGGTCATTAAAATGAAGATGGGTAAAATGGATTCGACCGAAGTGAGCAAAACCGAATTTGACAGGGAGTTGACGCACAAGTTTAAAACTTCCGGGCGCAGCTCTGAGGAAGAAGAGGTACCTTCTCCAGACAAGATTGATAAGATTGTCCAGGACATTAGCACCGCTGAGAAGACAGCCAAGAAGGACACGGCTACCACAAGTCGAGTGGCTACAATTACCCGCCAGGAAGCACGTGATATGACCGAGGATTTCTTGGAATTCGAAAAGCGCAGCCAACTACCAGCTGCCACGACAACGGCCACGGTACACGAGAAGTTCGTAGAGGAGATCAAAGAAAAGACAAGTCCAGTGGCAGCAATGACACAGGATACGCTTAGAGAGGTTGAACAGGTCATTAGCGAGGTTACTGAAACTGCCAGTAAGAAGGTGGAGAATATAATAAGTTCTTTCGAGAGTGGCAAACAGGAGATCAAGGAGAAGAGCACAGTGCTGGCCGGAGAGGTCGCCAAAGAAACAACGAAGGTCAGCGAGACCATAAAACATCTACAAGATGCACAGTCCTTATCTATTGAAGAGTCCGTTAAAACAGTCCAAGTTGTCGAGAGTACAAAGATTGACGAAAAAATTGCTGATTTCGAGGCCAAAAAGGTTAGATACGATTTCCATGGCGGAGAACCAAAGACACATATACCGAAACCTGTTAAAAAATCCAGCGAGGACACGCCTAAACCTACAGCGGCTCCTCGCGCCGCAGCTGAATCTGACTTTGAGAAACCATCTGAAGCAAAGGTGGAGAAGCCGCTTTCCAAAATACCAGTCAAAACTGGCGAGGCTGTCAAGATTGCCGAAGTGGATGCACGAAAGTTGACACAGGATTTTCTCCAAACTGAGCAAAAGACACAACTGCCGGCCCAAGCTGCTGCTGAGCATAAAGCAGCTCCGGCTGCAAGTAAGATACCTAAAGTGGAGCCCAGAAAGTCGGTGGAGAAGCCGGTCGAAAAAGAGACGAAAATCTTTGATGATATTGTTCTATCTACTGCCACCATAATGACATCTGGAATGGCAAGCGAGCCTCCCAAAGAACAACCGGAAATTGCTGCCAAGGCCGAAACTGTGACTGAAAAGTTAACCGATCTGATTCACACTTTCCACAAACTCGAAGATAGACTAAGCAAAACTGAAAAGCCTCTAGAAATAGCTAGCAAGGTGGAAGGGCTCGCAGGCACAAAGGAGGAGCCTTTACTTACAGCTCAACAAGAACTACCAAAATTGTCTAAAACGGAAGACAAAGTCGCAGAAAAGGTTGCCGAAGTTGTCGAGACATTCCACAAAATCGAGGAGCAGATCGTCTTTGATACTCACAAGCAAACTCATGATTTCCTACGCATGGAACAGCAAAGCCAATTGCCCAGCATGCCTAGTGTAACTGAGAAAATGCTCGAGTCCAGCCAGACATCAACAGCTTCTGAGCCCGATTCAGTGGTAACTGTGAAGGCAGCGCCTCCCGCTAGCAAAATACCAGTAGTTGAACCCAGAAAAGCATTGGTTGAGGAAGCACTGAAGCCAGCTGAAGTATCAGAACAACTTAAGGAACGTCAGCTTACGGCGGACTTCCTTCACATGGAGCAGCAAACCCAGCTGGAGTCTCAGCCTCAAAAGACCATAACGGCTAGCGCTGAAGCGACAATCTTGCCTGAAATCATTCAGCCAAAACTTGCTGCCAAGGAACCTACTGCTATCGCTGATATTAGTACAGCCATATATAAGGAACCAACAGCCCCTACACCTGAGTCCGACACAAAGATCGTTTCGGAAGATGGCATTGAGTCGGCGGCGCCAATTGGTGAAGTATCACCATTTGCCACACGCAAGTTAACCGCCGATTTCCTAACTATGGAGCAACAAACTCAGTTGCCCAGTGCTGTTAAAGACATTGGCTCATACGATAGTGATACATACGACAAAAGAGCCACTGTTCCATTGAGCGACATCATAAAGGAAGAGGGACTCTATGTACCGCTGCCCATTGAACCGCGCAAGTCGCTTACCGATGCGGAGTTTTGCAAATATGTGGGTGACACGATAACAAAAAAGATGAGCGAGGGTTTAATCGAAATGCCAGATGAGCTCAAACAGATAGGTGGGCTAAGTGGCAATGAGTACCGTATATAATGATTATACTTATTCCTTTATTATATGGAATTTTCAGCGAGCGACATTCCAGACTCCCAAACTCCGCCACCCACACCGAGTGATGCCAAAACTGAAAAGCAGGAGGAGCAGACCGATCTGGGCGAGCTAGAGCGTGGTAAATTGAGGGAAAATGCATTTAATTAATTAAATGACTGATTGAAATAATTAACTATATAGATTATCTAGCCGACACTGTGACTACGCTGCACACGACCACAGAGTCGACCTTTGAGCGTGTTGCTGCCATTTCCACCGTTGGTAAGTGCACGTTAAAATTGCTGCCTCTTAAATGCAATAAACGTATTTGTTATGTAAATTGACTTACCAACGTTTTATGTTCGCCTTTTTGGTAAAAGAAAATGAACTCGTAACACCCCTTTCTTGTTTTCTCATATGATTTTTGAGCCATATGTAGTGTATTCTTTATTTGTTTATCGACCAACATTTGTGTTAGTACAAGTAATTGTTTTTTGTTCCTCTTATTGTTATGTTGAACTCATTTCGTTTGAACTAAAATCCAAAGGCTTTTTGTATGCAAACAACCATTCATTAAAAACCGGTTCAATGGAAACGACAAAATAGTTCATTGTTAACAAGTAATTGTAATTGTAAAGCATAACCAACGAACTGCTAGTGTGTATATCTTAATCAAAAAAGTCTGTAAGTGAAAAAACCATAATTCGCAACTTAAGATTGAAGCTCAGGGCGTGAATGGCCAGCAGGTGGTGACAAATAGCACACAAAGAAAATGTCGTGATACCGTTAAAACGCAGTACTGTACAAACATTTGGTTAGTTAATCCAATTACCTGCGGCCGCTTACGGCCAAAGGTCGGGGAAATGAGAAAAAACAATAGCCAAGAAAATCCCTAATATTTTACGTTGTGTCTGGCGCCTTTGTTATTGTGACCAACTAACATTCAAAAGTGACAATGTCAACAATAAATATCCGTCTGCGGGTCAGTCCGAATCGATAAAACGATTGCATTGGGCCAATTTCATCACGAATAGTTTCAAAGGTTTTACAACATATCAATTAAATAAATTTCTTACGATTATCAAAAAAATGTAATTTAATATAGTTAGATCTAGACAGATATAGCCAGTATATGTGTTATTTAAAATAATAATTTGCCTCACCTAAACGTAGTTTGGGGTGCGAAATGTTGCGCACTTATGTCATTGCGCAGGCCACAAGGCAATCGCACAAGAGGTACGCTCTGGCGTATACTTAATTTAATTTGTTTCGTTCATTTGTGTAGTATGGCAGCTAGCGAAACTTTGTTGCAGATTTAGTTACACATTTGTATTTCCCAAGTACGCGTGACGGTAATACGTTGAGAATTTTCTTGTGAATACGCCGTCTTCTGGCCAGAAAGCCATAATTGTGTCCTAATTTGTTTGTGTTTCTTGTGCATTTGTTGAATTAAATACAATTTAGTAACCGAGCATTGTAGCGTTGAGTTGTTGTTTGTGGTTTATTCAATGCATTAATAAATCAATTAAAATACAAAACAAGACATTTCTAAATCTAGATTAAATAAACTACACTAAACGTAAAAATCCAACACTAAAGTAACTTTAAGTATTGTAATTTATGGTAAGTTCACAAAAGCAAGTTTTGTGCAATCAATTTGAAAAGTTGCCTTTGTAATGGTTAAAAGTCAGAAAAGTCCCTAGCAAATATGATGGGTATCGCTAATAGGTCTCTCTACATCTAATTCTCTATCTTTTTAGTGATATAACTATAAAATAATTGTTTTATTTACCATGAAACGGCAATTACGTTTGCAATTTTTAACAATTATTTAAGCAATTCAGTTTATGTTTTTGTCAAATACTGCAAGCTACAATAATTGATTCAATTTGTATAACTTAAAAATACAATAAGTACAATTACAAGTTAAGCCAATAATTTTTGTACATACATATTATAATGTACAGAGAACTTGTAGTATACGATTTTTTTCATTAAGATAAACACTTTTGGCATACCGATTTTCGAAATTTAAATTCGAGTTACATAAAAACATATGTGAAACGTAATGTGATTGTGATCTTAAATGAGTTGAGTGACACAAAATTGTCCAATTCCATTGTGATCTCATGCATTTCGATCCCAATATGCCGCATTCAGCACTCCAATACCAGTTTCAATATCTGTAAACCACCATGGCTTTAAGTTTCCAATATTTTTTTTAATTTATTTGATTTGTGCAAATAATTATCTTCTGTTGCTTTTCGTAATTTTTTGTGAGTCCTTAACGAAAAAGCATTGTACTCTCATCTAAACCACGAATATCGTAACTAAATGTTTAGTATAAAAAAAATTAAATAAAATCAATATAACATTAAAACTCACAGTAGCGGTTACGTAAACATGCATAGAATAAATCGTACTCGTTTAGTTTATAGATTATTTGAATTTTGCATTTCCGGCTTATAACAACAACAACAACAACAAAAACCACACTCTAAGTTGATTTGTTTGCACCCTTAACGCGCTTCCTTATCCAATTGGCTACATACTATGTATAATGTATATGTATATGTAAATGTAATAGTTAGATTGAAAAAATAATTACAATACATGGCACTTGCGTCGTATTGGGTATTTTTGTGAGCATATCGCATTACCGTATGTGACATATGATGTCGTGGTATAATTAAACTTGCAGTACTTGCTAATTTTGTCTTTTAAGTTTGTTTCAAACAATTAATGCAAAATCTAAACATACATACATATTGCTTAAATATTCTTGTGAAAAATATGCAAACGTAATGAAAAAAGTTCAAGTTCAGTTTTGTTGAATGTATTTGAATTGAGATGACGCTACAGCTACAGAAAAGGGCAAGGAATCCACGACTTCATATAAAGCATACTAGAGTAAATTATATGAGAGAACATCAAATGCTCTCTGCCATCTGTCTATCCAGACATTTTGTTCTGCTTTTCAAACTAACTATGTTCACTTATATCGTACCACCACAAATTGCATGTTTGTGCCTGCTGCTGGGTTTTTTTGGCATACAGCTTGTAGTTATGCGTCGAATTCTGAACGTTGATCAATTGCACTGTGTATATAAACTAACCCATCATATAAGTCTGGTTTGTTTGTAATAGGTGTTAACTGTCTTAATATTGCCTTGTTTCTACTTCTTAAAATTGCGCTATCCTGGAACGCCTCAAACAGAGCACTTCAGTGTTCATAATGTAAAATCCGAAACATTTACAAGTACAGATGAAACTGATAAGCTGCTTCATAGAATGGCAGCTGCCCCTACTATCCAGAAACCATACTTACAAGACACTACCTCATTTACAGAAATGAGTACAAGTAGTCCAACTCCGAAGACAACGACCACAACAACGACCCTGACTACGAATGTAGAACGCACCAAAATAGATTTAACTGCGACACCAAACAAGCAGCAGCAACAAAAAGATCATTCTAAGACGGAGCTGGATGATGTCCAGCGGGATGCTGGTGATAGGGAGTATTTAGAGCAGATAATGGGCTGTGGTGATGTGAGACGCAAGATATTGCGTTTGGAGAGCAGTGGCAGTACGGAGTCCTTGGAATCCAGTGCCACACAACAGAGTTTGCCACCCAAGTACATAGGCGATAAGGTGCCAGTTGTTAAGGATGTCGTACAGAGGATTGAGAATAAAATCAGCGGCACAGTGGTTGAGGCTATTCCCTTTTCCGTACAAAAGCGAACAATAGATCATAAAGAGCCGAACATCCTTGAGGTAGAGAAGCAAATTCTTACAGCTGCAGATATCGCATTGGATAAGTTAACCAAATGCGAACCACCTGCTGAAGTTGTAAAATTATCACCCGTCGAGGCAATGGAGCGTGGAGCATTTGGTATGGCGCACATTGAAGAGGCGGTCTGCGAGAGAGTTTGTGAGAAGCGAAAGGCCTTTGAGGTCGCAGAAGACTTAAATGAAACGCAAAAGACTTTGGAAGAACAGGTAGTAGGTTTAAATAGGCAAGTAAAACAGGTACCTGGCAACATTTTAACAGCAAGTATTGATGAACACAACAAATTAGTAAGTAAGGAAAAAGAACTAGAGACATTGCCAAAAGTAAAAGAAGCTATCCAAGATATTGAACGTAGGTATCCCTCAACGAACTTAGAAGTCACACCGTTTAGTCCACGCAAACGTGAAACAGTAGACCGCAAGGCTGATATATCCTCCATAGAACAACAGATTTTAAATGAAGCTGACATGGTATTAGAAAACCTAGGTAAAATGCATGTTGCAGAACAGAAGATAGTTTCACCTGTTTTAGAAATGGGTAAAATAGGCACAAGTATTGAAGACCTGGAAGCTGTGTGCGAAAAGAAGTGCTCTAAGCGTAAAGTTTTTGATATGGCAACAGCGTTTAATAAAGATAGTGATGCTATAAAATCGGCAACAGCTAAATTCCTGTCAGGCGAAAAAACAAAATATGACGATAATATTTTAGAAGAAAGTGGTAAGCAGGAATTCCCAATAGAATTAACTAAGGTCGCCAAAGAAGTAGTTTTTCCGAAACATGCACATACATTTGAGCGATTGCATTCAATTTCAAAAGCCGATATTGAAGACACAAAAGAATATATAAACGTTACAACTGAGTACGAAAGGAGACTTAGTAAACTATTAACAGACGAAATCCGCCCTATGTCTCAGTCTGATGATACAAATGTAGATAAAGAAGTATTAGAAAAGTTTCCAAGCTATGACAAAAATGAAATGACAACTAACACATCATTTGATGAGGCTAAAACCAAAGAAGCAAGTGCAATTAAGACAATATTTCCAGCTGAAGTACAAAAAAAAGAAAATGAAAGCGAGAGCGACGAGGAGATTGATAGTCGTGAAAAACTACAACAAATCAAACTATCCAAAATTGAGAAGGATCCAAAAATACCCGTAGGTCAGATC